CCAAAAGGTTTAAAATATAGAGGATTTGCACTCATGAAGTAAGTAATCCTAGAGAAGAAAGAGAACTGCCACAAAAGCTAGGAATTTCAGTAAGACATTATCATGTAGTTTCTTGAACTGTTTTAATTTTCAAGATAAGTCCTCCAAAGACAACGCTAAAGCTGTGGTAAAATTGTTATGTGCATTCTGTTTAGGCCACTCTCTCCGAACCCACAGGAGAGCACAAAAGCTCTCCCAGGAAAGAGAACACAACTGCCAATAGGAGCTATAGGGTCCCATACTGGGAACACAGCCAGCACAGGTTTCCCTGGGTAATTTTCAAGTGACACACATCTTGTTAGGAATTTTTTTTTTAATCCCCCTTTCAATAAATCTATACCTGCCTTCTACTCGATCACAGGTAGGTCAGCTGAGCTATTCTCAGTACATACTGATGACATAGTTATACACACGTTGTAGGAGACCCATGACCAATATATTTTAGTTGGTATTTTGCACTGTTTCAAGTTTCTCATTTTAGAAAATCACATTTGGCTTTAGGGAAATTAAGTTTCACCTTACTCCTGCAAACAGGCAAGCCCTAAAAATCAATAATCTGTATTTGGATTCATAAAACATGTTAACAACTAACAGACAATATAACACAGGGCAAGTGCTGCTTATTCAAGGAGCAGGACAAGACCAGAAATGCATTACACAACTTCTGACAAAGCATTACTGCATTTTTTCCAAGCCTGCTTCAGCCAGACCCCATCTCAAAGTGCTGCTGGAGCTGTGTTTGTGCAGTACAGCCCTGTGCTCTGCTGTCCTTGCCTCCTGCTCATTATCCTTGTCCCTTACAGGTCTATGTACTTTTGACATGTAACGCACAGTAGGAGTGTCTGGCATGCTGAAATTCAGCTCAGTGTTGTGGCATCCCCCAAATCCATTAAATGCGCCAAATACGTTCCACTTTCTGGTACAAGCAATGTTCCTCTTCCCTCACCCATACTTTTAAACAAGCAAGATGTAGTCTTGAGCCAAATACCTATGCCCAAAAGTGCCTCTACATATTGCTCATTTCCAGACCTATAAGCATCACCCAGTCAAAATACTGTATTTGCCTTAGTTTAAGGTTGAGACATTCAGTATGCTTACACTCCTATTCAAAACATCACTGTTTAAACCCTCAATAACAACATAGGGAAAACTGTGACTCCCTGAAAATGAAAGCCGATTCAACACCGGGTAGACACAGCAGGTACTCCAGGTTAGACAAACCTGGATGTATGTACAGACTGAGGAATGAGAGGCTAGAAAGCAGTGCCAGAGAAATGGACCTGGTCAGTGGCAAGATGAATATGAGTCAGCAGTTCCTTGGCAGCCAGGAGGGCCAACCGTGTCCTGGGGGGCATCAGGCAAAGCATGGCCAGCCAGTCAAGGGAGGGAATTGCCCGCTCTGCTCTGCACTGGGGCAACCTCACCTTGAATATTGTGTACAGTGTTGGGCACCACCATATAAGAAAGATATTAAGGTATTAGAGAGCTTCCAAAGGAGGGCAACGAAGATGGTGAAGGCCTTGAGGGGAAGCCATATGAGGAGTGGTTGAGCTCACTTGATCTCTTCAGCCTGGAGGAGATCTCATTGCAGTTACAACTTCCTTGTGAGCAGAAGAGGAGAGGCAGGCACTGATCTCTTCTCTGTGGTGACCAGTGACAGGACCCAAGGGAATGGCCTGAAGTTGTGTCCAGGGAGGTTTAGGCTGGATATTAGAAAGAGGTTCTTCACTCAGAGGGTGGTTGGGCACTGGAACAGGCTCCCCAGGGAAGCTGTCACAGCATCAAGGCTGACAGAGTTCAAGACAGGGACATGGTATGACTCTCAGGGATAGCGGTGTGCTGGGTTAAGCATTGGAATTGATGATCCTTGTGGGTCCACATTCTGTGAAATGTTCTGCAGCTACGCTTTTTACTCTGTTTTCATCATCCTGAGCCACAGTCACATCACACATGTAACTCAAATTTTCATTCACCATCCATCTGTAATTTTCTCATTTTCACTACAGTCAGATGATCAAAGCAAATATAGCAGGATACTGTCTTTTAAAAAGTCACAAAGAGAACCACACACCCTAAAGTTCATACATAATTTGTATGTCTGTCCATGTTCCTATAGCTCACAGACACACTCAAGAGAGGAAAAAAACCCACTCCTAAAACATATGGTTTTGAGGTTATACAAACATTCAAAACAGCACAGAAAGAAGTTCCAAATGTCTAGTAAAATAGGAGGAACTAACCAGGTCAAAAATTAAACTAATCCTGCAGAAAACTGAGTATCACTAGTTTTACTCTTGTTTTGCTGTTAAATGTTTAGCTTCCCCCTTACCTCCACCCCAGACAAAAGCAAACCAAAATTGTTTCTCACTGTTACTTGGTAAAACTTTTTTCACAATAGTTACACATGCTACGTAGTGATAAGCAGTCCTATAACTGCTCAGAATATCTTTTCAGTCTTGAGTGTTAGAACTTTCTGTAGGTGATGTTGTTCTAAGTAAGACTCCCCTGTTCCACTAAACCTTTTTTTGATGAAAAATGGATAAAAAAAAAAAAAAAGGAGAAAAATGTATTTATTCATTACTCTAAGTTACCTTACTTATGCCAATACATAAGTACACATGAACACATTCTGCACATGGAAATGAACAGAAATAACTGGAAGTTAATTAGCAGATAGCACCCTAGTAGGAATCCGCTTTAAGTTCTTATAAACCAGCCACATCGGATCGGATGAAAAGCACATCTGCAAACTACACTTTCTCTGTCAGTGGCCAAGGACAGATTCTTCTTGACTGCTGGAGCCACATGTTGCTTCTCAGTCCACAATTTCTCTTGCAGTTTCTACATGTCACTGTTTAGTGAAATATAAATTTTATTTGCAACAAGAGTAAGAAGATCCCTTCCTCCTTTAAATTGCTTTGTGATTTCAAAGTCAACTTTGAATAAGCTTGTCATAGAGCTGAAGTAAAGATTGGAAATTTTTAGAAAAAACACAAATCCCAACTCAAACATAAGAAACAAAGACAAAATTTTTTAAACTTGGCTGAAAAATTATTCTGAAGAGATGCTTTCAGACAAGAAGCAGTAATTGTGATGATGCAGCTAACTATTATTATCTAGCAACACAAAGGAAATGAGGCTTTAAAAAAAAATCATCTTTCTTACTAGACCTGGAGACACAAGTTAGAAATACCAGACTAGTTTTAGGTTTAAGTCTCCTCATTAAAGTCTCTCCATTTTCAGAAAGTACAGAGATGTGATTTGTTTTAAAGCTACACTGGGAGTTAACGGAGATCAGAAATAGAACCTTCATGTCTATGCTCCTTTTCCAGCTTACACATAAGCCATCTCCTCTTTCCTCACCTTCTCTCTAAGTGATCTGTACTAACAGTAATTTCCTTCTATTATGGCCACTTTTTTCATCCATTTTCTTTAATCCTCCTGCCAGACAACCCTGTTACATACTTGGCAGAAGAGAATAGGTCTCTAGGAGGATACACGATTTGGTGGGGGAAAGGCTGGGTGGGGGAAGCACAGGTCCATGTTCCAGACAATACACAGACTAGCCTTCCAAAATTTCTTGAAGACTCACTATATATGACCTACAAGAAAGGAGCTATAGATTTTATTAAGTAGAAGATATATATTCTATTCTGCAAAAGAGATTTCAGTGTAAGTTTTGTTAATTTTGAAGCAAGAGTTACAGCCATCCGTAGCCAATCATAAAATGATAGCATATCATCAGACTTCAGTACATTCAACATTTAGAACAGGTGAATTTTACACATCAGCTTCTATAGAAGAGAAAAAACAAACAAATACACAATTTGCTAAGGAGATCTATTGGCATAGTCTGGAGTACAGAGCACATGGCTCAGTAGCCAGGGCATCTGTTACAAAGAACCTTCGTGTACTACTTTCCACGAGCACTTTAATAAAGGTGCCTCAAAAAAAAGTGCTTGTGTAGATATTTATATTACTACATCTACTGTGGAATTAATTGTTCTATTAGGAGGTGCTGTTTTTTTCTACAGCTATTACTCTTTACTGGCAATAATGATAAGCCAGTTGTTGCCAAAGAGAACATATAACAGCTGAGTAAAATCCTTACTGTGGGAACCATGAATTAGGGTCCCACTCACCCATCCAGTTACCTTCCTATTTGTTTTCCCAGAACTTGCAGAAACCTTATTAAACACCTGTGTTCCTCAAAGAAGATAACCAATACATTCCTAACCTAGACAGTTCCATTTCCTTATAGCCATAACCACTACCACGATGGACAGATTTGTTCCATGGGACAGACACGGAACTCACAGCAAGAGATCCCACAAAGATCATGTAACTTTACAGCAGGATGTAACCGACTAAAATTAGCAACTTACTGGAAACAGTTTCATGCTCTCTCCTCACAGAAGCATGTTTAATTATTTTTTCCTTCATGAGAAGGTAAAATGAACTGCAGGGATCTCTTTGGGACTGACGGTGTTTTCGTGCCACCCCAGAGCCCCAAAGGCTCCTGCAGCGGTGGAACAGGGACAGTGACAGGGCAGGATTCCCCCAGCGCCCTCGGGGGAGCGAGCCCTGCCCTGGCCCCGCAAACAGCGGGTTCTGGAGCGGGGACCGGCTCCCGTGCCCTGCTCAGCCACCTCTAAAACACCCAACGCAGCCCCCAAGAGCCCCCAGGAGCCGGCGGTGCCCGCGGTGCCGCTCGGGGGACCGAGCGTACGCCAGTGTGCTCTCCTCTGCCCCACCGCATACACGCGACACCGCAGCCACCGCCTTCCCAGAGGCAGGACCGGCACTGCCAGGCCTCCATCATCCCCTCGTCCCTCTCACCTGGAACTCCAGCCCGTAAATCACCGGCGCGTCGTCCTCCATCGCGGCCCCTCGGTCTCGCCGCACAATCCCGCCCGCGCCCGATGCTTTCTGGCCCTCGGTGCAGCCCGTCGCCCGCCACTTCCGGGAGCTGCGCGCGGGCCGGCCCCCGCGCAGGCGCCGTGAGGGGGGAGCGGCGCCGGTGGTGTCGGCGGCGGCGCCAGGTGACGGGATGGGATGGGATGGGTTGTGTGGGACGGGACGGGACGGGACGGGACGGGATGGGGCGGGATGGGATGGGGCGTGTGGGATGGGGCGGGCTGGTCGCGCGGCTCCCGTGCTCCCGGAGGGCCGGCCAGGGGGGGGCGGGTGTCGCCGGGGCCGCTCCAGGTGGAGGCCGCTCTCCCGCCCCGCGGCGCGGCCGGGCCGGGGCACCCGCGGCGTCAGCGGAGGCAGCGCCGAGCCCAGCCCGGGGCCGCGGGGCTGCGGCAGCTCCGCCGGGCGTTGGTGCCGCTCCTCCGGCCCCGCGCTAGGGACGGCGCTGAGACTGCACTGCCCTTCGCTGGGTCGGGGACCGAGCTGGACTTGCGAGCGGTGAAGCAAATGCAGAGGCCCTGGATCGGGTTGTCCAGGGAAGTTGTAGATCCCCATTCGTGGAGGGGCTCAAGGCCAGGCTGGATGGGGCTCTGAGCAACCTACTCTAGTTGAAGGTGTCCCTGCCCACGGGAGGGAGGTTGCAACGAGATGATCTTCAAAGTCTCCTTCCACTCAAAGCATTCTGTTAAACTGTTTTGCCTGTGTTTAGTGGGAGGCCTTTGCTCTTCAATCCCAGTATTGTTGGGATGCACAGAAAGCGTGGAGAGAATGTATTTTCACAATTAATTTGTTCTGTGATTAGACGTTAAGTGACAGATGTCATATAATGACATTACTGTGTTTTTAAAGCAAGAATTTCAGTGTTTGTATGATCCTTAGGAGTTTCACTGTGACACCTGACCAGTACCAGAGTAACAAAACTAATTCTTTTTTTGGTGGGGACTTTTTCCTCTTCAGCTACCATGGAGAATAATGAAAGCAATGCTAAGGATGCAAAGAGCACCTCAGATGAAGATGATAACAGAGACATAGTTCAGCAAAAAACTCAGGAGGAAATTCTCTTTCATGAGGAAACCATTGATCTTGGTGGAGATGAATTTGAGTCTGAAGGGAATGAAACTGTATCAGAAGATTCAAATAATTTTGTAGATAAACTTAATGAGCAAATGATGGAGAGTGTCATTATTTCAGATTCACCAAACAATAGTGAAGATGACACAGGTGACCTTGGTTGTCTCCAGGAGATTGTAGAACAAATGGAAGCTAAAGATAATCAAAAAACAGAAGCAGAAGTGGATAAAGAAGAGTTTTTAAGTAATGAGAGTGAAACTGAACATGAAGAAACACCCAAAGACATTTCTGAGATTGGAACAGATGATCAGGCATCTTTGAAGGAAGAATCAATTCAGGAAGCAGTGAAGGAAGAACCAAAGATGGAAAACAACGTTCCTGATGATAAAAAACCAAATAACATTAATGAAAGCAAACCTGAGGACCAAATATCGTCCCCCAGTACTAGCAAACCATCTTCTGAGGCTGAGCCTATTCCTGTGTGCACCATCTTTAGCCAAGCAAACAATGTTAGTACCCAGCCACAGTTGTTCCTACCTGATGGCTTTGAGCCTCAGATGGTAAAATCTCCCAGTTTCAGTAGTATAATTGAGACTCCGGTGAAGTCTAATCCGCAGGTGGTTCAACCAAGTCCTAGCCTGAGCAAGTTCTTTGGCGACACTGTTAACACTAACACTTTAGCTTCTGATTTTTTTGATTCATTTACCACATCCAATTTTATTTCTGTTAGTAATCCCAATGCAAGCTCTTCAGTTCCAGAACAAATGTCCTCTCTTGCTAACGGTGGAGATGGTTCATCTAACCCTACTTTCCCTGTGCGCAATGGGAGACCTGAAGCAGGTGGTCCTTCCTCATCTCTAGAAATAACTCAATCCCCCAAGCCATTCTCACAAATCCAAGCTGTTTTTGCTGGGAGTGATGACCCATTTGCCACAGCCTTAAATATGAGTGAACTAGATAGAAGAAATGATGCTTGGCTTCCTAGTGAGGAAACAAGGAATGTTCTCATTTCAGTTGCCACACAACAGTACAGCACCATGTTCATAGATAAAGAGAATCTTACCATGCCTGGATTAAAATTTGATAATATCCAGGTAAGAGTCTGTTTTTGCATCTTAGTCTGTGATTACATTTTAGAAATACTGTGTAAGAGCTGTCCAATAATGTGTATATCATAGTGCTTCATATTGCTGATTGTTTCCTTGTGTGTATTACTTCAAACCTAATAAAAGTCAGTGTCACTGCCTACTCATACGTAAAAGGGATAGAACCAGATCTAATTTATTCATAGTGACATTTGTTGGGTGCATTGAAAACCAGTGTTGACAATTTCCTTAGAATCCAAAGCTGGTTATATTTTTAAGTATTGGTCCTCTTAGTTAGTAAGATGATGCTCACATTTGGAATATATACAAAATCTCTCTGCTGTGCTGCAGTCTGAAAGCAGACAGCTTTGTTTGTCTGTGGAATTCACTGTTGCAACCAAGTGGAAAATAACATTTTTTCACTCATGTTCACAGTGTTAACATGTTTTCACTCATGTTCTCAATAGTGTTAACACTGACTGAAATTGCGTCTTTTCTATCTTCCCTAAGCAGTGGAAAGGCATAACCGGCAAGAATGATTGAGTGCTGCAGCAAGGTAGTGGGAAGGGATAACCCCAAAATTAAAGGGAAAACTCCAAATGAGATCATGAAGCAAAAAACATAGTAGTGAAAACTCACTCTTTTGCTTCTATCTGAGTTTTCAACTGGTGACAAGGTATAAAGCTTTTTTTTTCAGAATTTGAGAAATTTCACTCAGATCTATTCAGGATTTATAATGAAGCAATTTTATCCTGGCCAAGACTAACTACAGTAATGTTTTGGGTTTTTTTCTTGAAATAGGCTAATTCTATTCTTTCATTCTGTGTCTCTGGATAATAGAATTATTGTTTAGATAGATGGTGTTGAGAGTTTGGATACTTTAATCCTTAATTGTGCATAACAGAGATTATCAGTCAATATCAAATGCAAAGCAGAGAATAGTCTGCAGTAACTTCCTGATCTGCAGAAGCTATCAGAAAAGTTTCTGGAGTGAATCAGATCCAGATTTGTAGCTGAATTAATTGACAAATCCTAGTTTTCTGTCCCAATTAATCAGTTATACCAGTTTTAGACATATGCCATCGTGCTGCTGCTTCTTGGGTTAATTTTATCCTAAAAGGTTTGTTTGTGTTGCAGAACCCGAAAAGTAGCGTGAAGGAAAGCATTGTAATAGGAAGCTGCTACTCCTCCAGTCCTTCCCACCATGCCCAAATTATCCCTTAGACCTTGATGAGTTATTCAAGCGTGTGTACTGTGTCTCTCCTGACAGCTGATGGGGTGGACAGAATGAATGATCCCTTCTGCTGGCTCCAAGGATGAGGGTTTCCTTATTGCAGGCCTTCCCTTTCACAATAGTTCTTGCTCACTTTCCTCAGTCCAGTCATCAATTAAAGGCTTGTTTGTGCTGATGATTCCCTAAATCTGGCCATGTGCATATATGCAGATGTACCATTTAGTACATAATTTAAAAGAAGACATTTGGCAATATCCATGTGATTTATTTCTTCAGTAAGACCTCACGTAAAATCGTCAATGGAATTAAAGGGCGTTCCTGCTGCTTTCTTCGTTGATTATCATTTATAAGTAGTCTCATTGATATGTCAGCTGGGACAAGTTTTGAAGTGCTTTATGTTTAGACAGTTTTCATCACTTTTAGTTACTGCTTTTCAGTGGCCTGAGTGCATGACTTGACTGACTTGACATCCCCTACTTTGGTACATTGTTCCATACACTACTAGTACTGCAAACTGTGTATTTAACTGAAACTATAATTGTAGAGTACTTGAAATGTCAAGTGAAACATTGTGGGAGGCATGTTTTCAATGTTAAAGCAGCTTCCAACAATACTTATTATGGCTTTGTTATGAATAGTTTGCTAATGTAAATGTTAATCCAAGATGTTAAACCAGGCTGCATGCAGTGGACAGAGGAGTTGGTTGTAAAGTGCATTTGCAGTGCATTTGCAACTGCAAACGTGCTTCAGGGAAGGACTGACATTTTGCATGATGTGTATTGAAGAGCTTGATCCTTTACTCTTTTCCCTGCTTACTCAGAAAGTGTTTGTATAACGTGTGTTGTCTGAAAATTTAAGATTAGTTTTGTGTGGATTAATCATACCAAGAAAAACACTGAATGTTTTTTATTTCAACTACTTTTGGTGATCATTGAAGACACATTATCTTTTAAACTATCTTGGATTGTGAATGGTACAGATTGTCTGTACCTGTGTTCTCCGAGTGTCAGAACGAGTCTGAGTGCAGCTTTTTATGCTCTTTCTATTACGTCTTGTTTCGTGAGTTGCTGTCTGCTGTCATTGTCCTTTCTTTCGTTATGTTAATTTCACTATTTCGTTCTCCAAAGTACTGTTGGGTCCAAAGTACTGTTGGAGGGAATTAGGAATTCTTCTATATTCATGTAATTTTGCAGTCTTTTAATCCTTTGGACTCTTCTGTCCAAAAGATGGGTATCTTATTTATTCATAGGATAAGTGACAGCATTAGAGGTAAAATATTTCCATGTAGTGAAAGAATAGTTGCAGTCTCATTCCTTAAACACAAATATATTTCCCATCCTTGTCCGTGGGGAAAGTGCCAACATTTAATATCAATTGTCTTTATCATAGCTGTATTTTATTAATTTCATCTTTTTTTTAAGCAAAAAGCTGTTGAGCTCTCATAGTCCAGATTCTCTAACTGATTCTTGCAGTTAGTTCTTTGAAATTAAGAACACTTATTGAAGGGTTGCTGTTTACTTTGTTCTGTGATTTCTCAAGTTTGTTTTCTGTGGGTATGTAAGGCTAGCTTATCATGAGCATGTTTATCTTTAATCAGTAGCTTGCACCTTTCAGTGTTCATATATACTGTGAAAACCCATAAAACTGATTGTTTCATAAGATCTTTGAGGAATATTTTGTAAGATCTGTGAATGAATAATAATATGAGAAGCAAATAAACCTGAACCCATCAATGCTAACGGAAACCTATACATGGAAAAAAAAAGAATATACCAAGTTATGGGGAGTAAATGTAGAAATTTTCATTACAATGCTGTAAGTACATGTGCAGTTATATTTATTTCACACAGAAAGTACTGGAAAATAAGTACTTCTCTAGAGGAAAGAACTGTTGCTCAGCTTTAATTCTGCATTTTATTTTGCAAAAATGATGTTTAAAAAAGTCTTGTTATGGGTCTTCTTTTTCTGTTCCATGAACACCAAGGGAGATGCAGTAAAAGAGTTAATGCTTCGCTTCTTGGGGGAGCAAGCCGCAGTGAAGAGACAAGTTTTGAACACCAGCTCTGTAGAGCAGTCGTTTGTGGGCTTGAAACAGCTAATTGTAAGTAACAATCTTTGTAATTTAATATGTATTAAATACTATGCCTCCCTCAAGATAATTGCGAGTTACTGACTGTGAGGAGAAACTGGAGAAAAAAAATCTACGCATCAGTCTATCCATGATCCTGCAGTAGTACTCACCAAACAACAGTAACTTTTAAAGGGAATGAGATTGGGGTTTAAATATTTGGGTTTACATCATGCAGTTAACATTTTTTTAATATGCAAAAGTTAGAAAAAAGACTGTAAATTTTGTTGTGATGTAAATGGTTGCAAAACAGATTTTAATATTTTTTTTGTTTATCTACGTACGTATTATTTTTTTTCACCTGAGTGTTTTACAAAAGGCAAGATGTACAAGTTGTAAATGGTAAGCGAAGCTGATGTGATAAGTTAAACCGCTTAATGTTTTACTTCAGTGCAGAAAAACTAAAGTAAATTGCTTCCAAAGGAAAGCTTAATTTAATCCTTTCATTAATGTAAATATTTCCTTCCATAGTTGGCGTCTATGCAAGATGTTCTTCTATACTGCAGACAACCTTGTAGGTTAAATACAGTGCTGGTGCTGATACTGTTTTAGTTTTGAACATGCTCTTAAGCTCCAGAAGATCCGTGTTAAGGCTCTTATGCTCAAGGCAGCGAAGCTTAGGAGGCAGTCTGCAACTGTAGGATCTTTTGCTACCTGTAGATAATTTTTATTTATTTTATTTATTATAAACTTGTCTTATTAGAAGTTTCAGAGTTTTTATAAAATTGCAACCATTCAGCTAGAAGTCAGAATGTTCTTCAGTTTTCAAGGCTTTCAATCATTAGCTGTTAATTGTTTCTTATGATACAATATAACTATTTCTCAGTTTCATTTTCAGAATTTTGTTTCTTTTTTTGATAATAATTAGCTGGTCAATTTTTTCCCTTGCAAACATAGCTGGTTTTTTCTGAAATTCTAAATGTAGAAAATTTATTTCTGAGTGGCAAGAGTCTTTAATGTTTAGAAGAGATTTCAGACTTAGAAACATTAAAATCCCCTGCTAGATGATACTAATTAAAAAGATGTGTACTTTTTAATACATAATAGGCCAGAATGACATATAGTAAGTATTCTGTCATCAGTTTTACTTTGTTTCTGAGTGAATTCCTGACCAAATATGCGTAGTGAATAAGTCTTTTGATGCAAAGGACCACTTACAGGAAATATTTTCATTTAAGATCTGGTTAAAAACTGGTGCACATTGAAAATATTGCTATGTAGTTTCCATAACATTACAATTGTTTTCCTTAGGAGTTTATTTGGTATCCTTGTGAACTACACAGGAACATGAGAATTAGTGAGATTGTTTATCACTCAATTCAATCCCTTGCAGCAACTCAAAAGAGTGTATTTCACATGTGTCCAGAGTACAGAAGAGAAATACTTGGAATTAGGATAGACTTCAGCTTCAGACGGATACCTGTTGTTTAGGTGTTTACATGTGAGCTGATGTCTGAACTCTTAAGTCAACAGAGGTCTAATAATACGGTTGTTGATCACATGTAAATTTAGATGGGATCCCATCTAAAACTCTCAAGTATTATCACATATTGTAGGAAACACCAGTAGCAGGTGAAACAAGAAGTGAATGTTAGGTTCTGTTCTGAAAAACTTGTTAGGTTTGAATTCTCAGATTATCTTGGGTGGACTCCATTGTATTATGGAATGGAAAAAAATTAGAGAAAAAGAATGCTATTGCAGGTTTGTCAACTTCAGAGAAAACTGCTTCATTAGTATCTGGGTACTGTTTTAGTCCTATGTGGGTGGGAAAAACATACTAAATGGCTCACTAGTATCCCAAATCTTCATACCACAGGTCTTCAGCTGCACTTCTGAAGTTTCCCTATTCTACCATACTATTGCTTCTGTTCTCTTAATTGTCTGTTTTAACAAATAGATACACTGCTGCTACTTTCAAAGGCTATTCCAGAACTTCATCTCTTTGCTTGCTAATCAAAGGAATTTTAATCAGTCCTCTCTCAAAATCTTTCTTTCTAATCAAAACTAAAGTTGTATACAACAATTAAAGTGTTTTGGTCTCATGTTGCTTCTTAATTAATTTTCTTTTCTCAGTATTTACTTCCTCTCTCCTGCTACTTTGTATGATTAGACAACAGTGGCAATTCCAAAAATAACCAATCTCTAGTAATCTAGTCATGGATGCCTTCACAATCATCTTAGGAGCTCTTCTCAGAGTCTCTTTCAATTGAAGCCAACATTGTTTGTTACCACTTCCCAGAACTACACACATTACATTGTAAGTTACATGACTTGGCAGGTTAAAGATCTCTTATTCTGACACTGTAAATCATCTGATCCCTGTTTGATCCTTACATGTAGTGACAGTACTTCCTAGATTACATCTACAAATGCATATACCAGCTCTTTTTACCAGGGTCACAAAAAAAAAAAGTATCTTAAATTTGATGATTCTAGTGTGCATCCTAGAGTAATAACTTTTCACATCCTTATAAAAGTTCCAGTAAAAGCCATTTAAGTTAAAAACAATTCTGTGGGTAAGATGAAATTTGTGCTTGCAGCAAGAATGTTGGAGACTGATGTCCTTTTGGGGAAATCATAGTGCAAAGTCTGCAAAAGTTTCCTGAAGTACAATTAGTTATCAGAAAACAAACGTTACCAAGAAGTTAGTAAGCTGAGCTTCCAGAGGTGCACTTTTTCTGATGAGACCACCAAAAGCAGCATCATGCCTAAGACAAATACTTGATCAGCAGGAACTGAACTAAGGCTGATAAACTTGGCTAACAAAATTGTTTTGTTCTGTAGTTGTTTTGAGTGAGGTTTGTACCAGTAACCCAAAGATAGTTTATATGAACAACTGTGCTTTCTCATTTTGAATTTCTACTATCAAATGGGTAACATTGAATTGGAAGTCTTTTACTGGTGGGTAACGGTGTGAATTGGTGTAGCTGAATTAGTTTTACAATTTTGGGGCCTGTAAGAGATACAGGAGTGCTGGAGCAGTTCAGCAAAATATTTCTGTAATAACTAGTGAATAGAGTTATACATCTGTACAGGGAAGGTTTTTATATTTTTCAACTGAAAGCAGAATATCTTGAGTTTTCAGTTTCTAAAAAATTTTATCAATCTGGCATAGGAACATGTGTTTACATCTAGAGCAAATAAATGTAAGCAAGAGCTTGTCTTCACAGCATTGCTTTGTTTTACAGCAGCAAATACAAGGTGATAGCTACAATTTTGTTAGTTCCTTTTATTCCATATTTTAGATTAATTGTTTACACTCATTTTAAGAAATAGCACAGTCTCTCTTAATAAAGGCCTTTCTGATACTTTGAGTTATAAGCCATAGGAAAATTCTGTCTTAGATAGTTATTATACCTATATTGCCACTATAAATACACAGTGTTTGCTCTAATGTACAATCATTTTTTTTCAAGCTGCTAGGCCAGGAAAGGGTTACTAACTACATTTTCTTAACTGATGTGGAAGTGCTCTACCAATGTAATTTACAGGGGAGAAGCATGTCATAGCTAGTGGAGGAGGACATTTTAATCACTTTAATGGTGTTACATGTAGAGTTAATGACTCCCTTTGTGTGTATTTAAAAAAAGTCATATACTGCTACTTTTGCATGTGATTAATGTTGTGCTTTTGCATATATTTTCAAATATAATAAATCTGGATACAGTGGTATGGCATACATACTCACTTTAATAAGTTATAAATTATCCTCGAAAATAGGGAGGGGGATTGTTCTTTTGTTTCTAAATCAGTGAGCAATTTCTCATACTTTTGTCACTGATTTGAGAGAAGATGGAAGATACAAGTAGCACAAACAGTAGCTGGGTGCTTGTGGGAAAAGGTTGCGTTTCTGCTTACTGGATAAAATTTCAGTGCTTTTCCTGAGGGGCTGAATAATGTTATAAATTGTATATCAGTGGAGTTCCCTATTTATCACTGAACATATTTTCTGTAGACATCCAGTCTTCATGACTTGCTTTGGTAGACAGAAGAATTACATTTGAAACCTGTTTTACTATGCAGTTTCCCTGTCTGTATGTCAACCTCCCCCAGGACTTCTGTGTTTTTGAAGAACAGAGAAGTTCTGCAGGGAATAGTGCATTGTCTGTTGGGTGGCTGCACTGCTTGGCCCAGCTTTGGTGTGTGTACAACAGTCAGTACTGAAATAATTCTTTTTTCTTCTTCTAATTTTTAGTTATGTATATGGACCAAAAAACTCCTTTCAAAAGATAAATATCTGGACTAACAGTGCTTAAAAAGTACAGAAATTGTACAAACTGGTGGCTTTCATTAAAAGAAGAACTTCATATTTCTGAGGGGAGACAGAAAAAGATAATGCTAATGTGTAGGGAGAAGTTCTCTGCTGCTGGCTGCTGCTGTTAGCGACCTGGTTGGCAATAATATTTGGTTGACAGTATTTTTTCTTTGAGAAATTAATGTTTTTACACAATAGCAGATAAATGACCATGTCCTGATCATCTTAGAATAATATTTTGCCTTTGAGGATATTCTTCAGTATTTTTGAAGAAGTATATGAAGCTGTACTGTCCATACTTGCTTTGGGCTTCTACTTAGGACTTAGAAACAAAATTCAGGAACAAAGGATCCAGGCTGTTAGGACTGTGTGCTTGTAGACCGTGGGAAGCGTGAAAGTGACTGACCTGCAAGGCTTTGAGAGGTGTTTGAAGTAACTGGAGAAAGATTTCTGCTGGACTGGCAACTCTAAGTTTGGTACAATTTGTCAGAAAAAATAATGTGTCCAGTTTGTTTCAAATTAAGTTGTACTGCCAGCAGCCTTCTATTAAACTTCCACATAGAATTATGCTCCCTGATCAGCAGGCAGCTCTAATTTTGAAATCTTGATGAATATTATGTTTCATTTTCCAGCAAAGACTGTTTTCACAATGACTGTCAGGCTTGCTTTTCCTGGCTGTCTTGTTCTATAAAGAAAACGTATTTTTTGTCCATACCCTAAATAGAATTTGAAAAATTGTAGCAACTAAGTTTGTCATAAATGATTCATTATTATTTTTGGATCCTAACTCTCATCTGGGAAGAAAAGTTGTGCAGTTTTGAGTCTGTTTTTGCTTCTGTTCTAAGGATAATAAGAATTTGTCTCTCCAGAAGAGGATTGAATTTCAGGTAATCCATGTCAGGATCTTTCTGCTTTTCTAAGTTGATACAGGTAATTGAAGGATGTTATAGAAAGGCATTTTCAGTTCCTGCTCTTCCATTAGAATGTAGGTGTCCCACATTCTGCCATGCTGTTTCATGGTCTTGCTGTCTTGCTTTGTATTTCCAGTGGAACTCAGCTTTTTATCTGGTATTTGACAATGCAGGGGAGAGAGATGAGGTGGTCTCCGTAGTGGCTCTTTGAACTGTATGGTGGCAAATTGGGGTCCAGAAAATATGAAAAGTCTTCAGGTGTTACTACTAATTTCTGATCTAACTGTTTGCTGATCTGAACTTGCAAGCACCAATATAAATATATTTTATTTCTTACCATTTCATCAGACAACATGACAATTTCTATTACCTTTTTTTTAATGTATTTAAGAAACTATTTGAAAGAAATGTTGCTTTCAGGAATAAGATATATTTATTGCAGAATGACCTGCTGGATACATGTCTCTTGAAAAACTGTTCTTGTATGATAGAAAAGTATGACAGCTTAAAATCTGTGAAGCATTACTCTCTGTGTTAATGTTGTATCAGGCTATACAAGGCAGAAACATTATTGGGATGACAGTGTAACAGGACAGTTTGATTTGTCTAACTTAGAATGTTTTTGTTTTATAAATAAAAAAATAATTTTAATATTTTGAAATTATTCATGGAATGGAAATTCAGATGTTTACATTGTGTTGGTGAAACTGTAGTTATTGTTCTGAATATATCACTTTATACATTATATTGTTTCTTGTCCGTTGTTCCTGATTGCTAGGAACGTTCTGGGCAATGTTAGGAAAGTTTATTTTCATTAAATGAACTGCACTAGGGGTTATAATCTGAAATACTGAAGTCAGTGAGATAAGAATAGGCATTGAATACTTTATAATAGTAGAGTAATTTGAGTGTGATTATTGATAATATATGGCTGGCAATTTTTTTTCTCCTTTTGAGGAGAAAACAAAATTGTGGATATTATAGTATATGCGTTTATATTATCAAATATGACATAGTTTTAAGTTTAGAATTCTGTATGGGTTTGTATATTCTTTTGGTTTAGTGATGTGATAATATTATTGCTTGATTTCACTTTTTGCCTAATTAGATGTGCAACTTTGACAAATGACATTCTGCTTCTCGCTGGCCAGTTCTTCTGACCTTGTCGTTATTACAGATGAGTACATGTTGCTGCTTCAGGCAAAATAAGCAGTTGTGCATTTCAGGGGCTTTATGATTTTGCTACTTACTCTTTTCTTTTTCCCAGAGCAGTAAAAACTGGAGGGCAGCAGTTGACTTGTGTGGGCGGCTTCTAACTGCCCATGGTCAAGGCTACAAAAAAAGTGGACAGCCTGCTAACCATACTACAGATTCTTTACAGGTATGTTTACAGATACACCCTTGTCACTGTTTTCCAGTGGCATTTTTTTTAACATGATCAAACTTCTTTTCCTAATTGTAACCAAAAAACTGAGCTTACTTAAGCCTTGTAGTTCGTCACTTTCTCTGTTTGCTTAAGAAAAGTAAGTCTTCATTTAAAACAAACTTCTTTTTTTAAGTAGAATTCGATCTTGATTGTATGCTTTTAAAGGTAATCACACTAGCAAAATGAAATGTTTTGCTGTCTTGAGAGACTCGCTGTGCTGGAGTTCATAGAGCTATTTAGACTGTGAACTTTGTAGTAAGATTTCAAATGGTAGAAGTGTGTTTCATGTTGATAAAAAAGTAAGAATTCAAATTAATAAAATATTACAAGTAGTTCAGATGTAACCTAGATGAGAACTCATGTTTTTGACCCTAGTAACTATAAGGTTCATGGAATTTCACCAAAATCCTAAGAGATTTTAAGATTGGAATAATAAAATTGGAAAAACAATCAATATATCAGATTGATAATTCATACATGCTAACTCAGGTTAAAGAGAGATGTTCTAATTTTGAACAGGGCAGTTTTTAAACTTCATCTTCAAAATCTCTCTATCTTTACAAACAATTAAACCATCAGTGAAAGAGCGTGTAAATATAAATCTCTGTTCTCTTCAGTGAGTAACATAGATGCTTTTATCAGAAGAACTTAGAAACTGTATTTGGATGTGGCTTGTGATTGAAGCTAATAACAGACTTTCCCCCTTTTCTTTATATATATTGATTTTTAGCTGTGGTTTGTGAGACTGGCACTGCTGGTAAAACTGAATCTATTCCAAAATGCAGAAATGGAATTTGAACAATTTGGAAATTTAGACCAGCCTGATCTTTATTATGAATATTACCCTCACGTATACCCTGGACGAAAAGGTAAAACATTTGATTTATAAAATTCTTTTTATATTTGCTGGTTTTATCAGTCATTATAAGATATTAGTTGGATTCGGATTTTTTTAATTCTAAAGCATTGGTGAACTTTGGATTATGTTGCTTTTGGTTTATTTTTTTTTCCTGGGGGAACATGATTGATTACTACATTAAAGTATTGTTCACATTATGGAGGTAGCAATAAGGAATAATAAGAAGTAAAACAATATAGGTAGGCAGCGTATTTCATGATGCTGCTACAGAGCAATGTTTTTGACAACTAAATGTAATATTTTAGATCTATGGTATTGAAATTAAAACCCACCAAACTTAAATACCATGTTTTAGCTAGAAACAGGCTGTGAAAGGTAATGGGAGAGTTTATGCAAATAGAATCTGTAAGCTTTTCCTCTTAACTCATCCAGGTACTATCAGTATGCTGTTTTTAACCGTTGCATGCCCATGCAGGCAGGTGCTAATGCAGGTGTTATTTCCTGGTTCCTAAGATTAAAAGAACAAATTTAGAGCTAATTTAGTAAATCTCCTTAATGTAAAAAATGGTTGAATTATTTGCTTAATAATTGCAAGTAAATAAAAACAGAAGTTTACTATGTATCTCATTGTTGAAGAGGAAAAAGCCACCAACAGCCTCAATTCTTTATAAGCAGTTCATCTCGAGTTACAGATGCGCTACTTCCCACTGCTCCAAATAGCCCATGGATTACCACATAGTTCCTCTACTCACGGAATTCTAGTCCTCTAGAAGCCTGGCTTTGAAAAACTGCTAGTTTTAAGAGCAGTTTTGCTTCTATTCAGGCTATTTTGAAATTTTATTTTTTCTAAATCTGTTATTTAGAAAAAGTAACTCTTTGGTGCAATTACAGTGTTGAGTGTTCTTAATGTTCTTTGGCTTTTGTATTTGAACCAGAGTGTATAATAAAACCTTTGTAAGAAACAGTTGTTATAGATAGGCAGTGCCACTGGAAAGTTATAGTCCATTTTACATGAGATGCTGGTAGTCTTGATGGCATTGCTGAGGAAGGGAAGTTGGTGTCAGAAAGTTATTTCATCTTTTCAGTGATGCAAAGGGTCAGTTGTCGCCTAGCAAGGCCAATGTAGACTGCTTGGAAGAAGTCCCTCTGACCTTAATCATCATCTTTCGGGCAATCACTGGCAATCCACTGAGAGGGAACTGTGTAATTTTTAAGAGTGAGAGAGGTCTTGTCAGGTTGCACAGCTCCTTGGATCTGGTTATCTTTGGGCAGCTCTGCACTTGATGAAGTGCTGCATAGGATTAGTCTTCCCCAGGCCATATGTATGTTTCCACATCTTTTTCAGTATTAAGAATAAGTCCTTTTTGTCAAAGAAAAATCCTTGCAGGTCATGTCAATATTTGAGGCACTTGAGTCCTCGTACCACAGATCATACAAGTAGCAACAGGTCTGGACGGTCTGGCTGGCTGCTGCAGACACCCATTCTGGACCTGGGCTTTGAATCCAAGCTGTTCTTGCAGCAACCACTCAACCACTGTGGTTATTTCATACAAATTACGAGGGTATCGATGAGGTATTCGCAGGGATGTAGGAGAAAACAAGCACTTCTTTTCTGGCTGACATTAAACTACACTATGCTGGATTACAGATAGAGAAATTTAGTATAAATGCATCATTAACTGACTAATTTAAATAAAAAAAATAGAGATAAATCATTCATAAATCTATTAGCACGAATCCACAACCCACTGCTGTTTGGTAATTTTGCATATCATTTTGTGGTGTAACAAGCATAAAAGAAAAGGTTTTGTTTCAACATTTTAGGTTTGATTTATGGTATATAAATGGAGTAAGCATTTAAAAGTCAATTTAAGAAATGAGTATATAGATATAAATAATGTACATATTAATTGTAATACATACTATATTTTGCATGATTTCTTTGTATTCAAAATATTCATAATAAAAAATGTAATAAATTGGAAAGTTTTTGGGGTTTTATGCTTGAAGTAGGGAAAGTTTCGAACTTCTCACAGCAGTGAGAATAGTCCCTCATCCATTAATCTTGGAGAAGTATACCTCAAGGAATTTTAGTTACAAGTAACTCTGTGAGGAGTGGAAGATTTTTTTCCATTAATTTTACTTAACGTGGCCACCAGGCTACTCTTATTTTCCCTCTGAAGATCTTCCCCTTTTGGCTGTGCTACTAATCTCCTTTTAATCCTCATATTTTGTATGGCATTTGCAGCCATACTGTGCATGGATCCCATTACTGTTGTCTTCATCATGGCTGTAAAATGTAGTCTTTCTGAATGCTTCCTTTCCTGGTTTCTACGTGCTCTTTCTTCAGTCATCTCCATTGCCTGTAGGTGTGCAGCCTGTCGGGGAGTGTAATCTGGGATCCTTATGTCTGCGGTGGAATAAGTTAAGTCACTCTGGGATCATTTCTGTTTGATATAGGGCAGAGAGAAAACTGTTCCCATTTTCTAATAAAATCTTAAAATTATTCAATTATGGATCTATTTCTTTTAAATTCATTTGTGTAAAGAAGCTAAAAAGTATGATTTTATATATAATTTTTTTGTTTTTAATAGGTAGGTCCTTAGGTCAGGAATTCTGTTCCAAGTTGCTTCCTGCACTCTGGGATATATAAGGCTGAATTTTTGTCATCATTTTCATGACTAATGAATTTCAGGATTTTTTTTTTTAGGCTTTTGACTTTGTGTTTACACAGTCTGACCCACTTCTATTTGCATCATTTGTTTCTGTGTTCCTTGTGATGTTTAATGAACTCTCATGGTAGCTTTCCTAACCTGAAATAGCCTTTCCTTTGGTAATGCCTATGTGTTTCTGAATGAGTGAGAGCCAACAACTAAAATGGAACATTAAAATGCTATTTCATGCTTTTATGAGGTAATTTGGTCTTGTTTCTGGTTAGTAGACCAGGAAGTTACAGAAAAGTTAATGCTACCAAAATCAGTGCTCTAAAGCTACAAAACTTGAGAACAATTTATTTTGTATTACAAAGAAAAGAAACTTGCATAAGTAAAAATTGGACTTCATTCCCCTGACCAGAGGTTTATGTGACATGGGATGGATTTTATTTTTCCTTTCCTCTTTTCATTCTCCTTGTGAAGATACAGCATCATCCTCTGAATGAAAGCAGTCTCTGTACCCTGGTGGAAATTGCCTAAATGAGGAACGTGTCATTAAATATCCCCTTGTATGTGCTCTAGAAACTGATTTCATGCATTTTCACCCTCCCATGAACTCTGCTACTATTTCTAGCACAAGTTTTTTTGAATTGTGGCTGTGTTGCAACTCTAGGGATACACTAATGTATGCTACAGTAAGCTGACACTTTTGGATGGATAGTGATGATTTAAAAATATAATATATGATATATAAAAATATATATATTTCTATCAAAATAGGATGACTTTAGACATCGTAACTACTGCTTTAGCATATTTTATTATGTCTGTATTATTTTTATGACTTTACTACTACCCCATGTAGTTAGATGTTTTATCAGAAATACATGAAAAAATAGATTGAAAAAATAGTTGTCTGAGATTTCATTTTTTATGTGTCCTTATTTACTCAAGTAGTGCTCTTTGTTTCTTTTATTCAGTTTTGAAATTCAAATCCTCCTAAAGGAATCATGTCATATGTGGTCTAGAACTGTCATTCAAGCCCATGCTGTAAACAAGTTTTCAGTGCTGATGTCTAAGGTGAACTCTAATAAATTATTATTGTTATTACATTTAATAAGCCTATAAACCAGCAAAATATGTAATGATAAACTTGGTTTACGTCTAACGCAGAGATACTTTGTTAACAAGGGAAACACACAGAATTATTTCTCTAATACCTACAAAAGACATTTTACAGACACCTGCACTGTGTGTACAGCTCCAAGGTTTACCTGCTCTCAGAAGCTTGGTCCTGTTTCTGAATGCCAGCCTATGTCATAAGTAAGGACAGACTTGGACTGGGGAAATTATCTCCTGTATGTGAGGCCTCTGCAGTGATGTTTGGCCATTTTGAGTTTACTGTCTTCCTTTCTTCTTCTCTCCTTCTTGTCCGTGCTAGTAGGAGGCATCCTAGCTGAAGCTTCCTTTTTTTTTTTTTTTTTAAACCATGGGTTTTGATGATTCCATAAGTGAAATACCCTTTTTTTTCAACCATATCAAATTTTGGTTAGTGGGAGAACTGTAGCAGAATGGGAAGTGGTGTGGGGAAAATAGAAGAATAATTGCGGTAGGTGGAGAGACAAAAGGGAGCAATGAATGTAAAAACAAAGATAAGAGGAGAAACATACAGACTAAAGAAACTATGGCATATAGAGTGCTCCTGTCCATTAATAATGTCTGACTTTTTTGCCTTCACTTCCGTCTTCCATTTATTATTGCAGGCCTTAAAATTTTGCAGGAAAGCAGAAGAAAAAAGTTACTCCAATCACTGGTACATGTGGCACTAGTTTTCTCATGTGTTATGACAAATGCTGCCTGACATTAACACTTTCACATCAGACTCATTCAGTCTTGGCAGTTGCTTGGGAGAGTTCTTCATTCAGGCTCACGGCAGTAAAAAAACATATTTAAGCCTCTAGTGGAACTGGTTTGCTTGTTATTCTCTTTACATTACTATGTATATCTCTATTGTGTCTTAAATACACTCTCCATTTGTTTGCTTCAGAGCTACCTTCTACCTGTGAAATCAGCTAATAGAACTTGAATAAATACCACTCAAGTGTTGTGGTTCCAGTTTGTTATTCAAACTACTCAGATGTGCAAATACGAATTTTTCAGAAATAATGTGGGTATTTTAGTTAAGAAATGTATGTATAATTCTAAGGGGGGTAGAGTACTGATGAAGTACTTAGTTGTGCCTTCTTTCCCAAGGCTACATAGTCTCACTGTAGACAGTACCAACTTTATATAGGATTTCTTTACTATGAGTAAGTAAATGATTTCTAAATTCTGCCTTACTACAGCTATCAGTAGATAAGATTTAGGGTGATTTCTATGAGGTAGAGCAGTTGTTGTAGGGTTTTCCTATATTATTTCTCTTAGGCTTTTCTTGCTTCATTGCAAGTAACTCCAAATTACTGAAAAAGTAATTCTGAAATCTTTCAAAACCAGATCTGGATTCAGAGTATCTGTGTTCTTAGGTCACGTGCAGTTAAAATGTAAAGAATACGCAAGCATGAACTTTGAGATAAAATTTTCAAAACGTTTTCCTTAAATGGTTGTAAACATTCAAACATTTAGGATCCTATCTCTTCTTCAATCTCTCTGGATTGAAAATAATAAACAAAAACTTGGAAACTAGTCTGTTGAATGTGGATTTCTAAATATACTTCTAATTGATAGTCAGCAAGGCTAGGGTTCAAAGTTACATTATCCCTCTTAAAAATCTTACAAATTTTACACATACACCGTTGATAAATATGTGTGTGCATATAAAGGCAAGGATATACATCTCTGTATGTATACATATACATATATGTATGTATAAAGCAGAATATTTTTCTGAAACTGGATTTTCTGTATTTCTCTTTTACCCAATGCAGGAAGGATTTTTTTTTGTTACTGTCATAAGATCCCACTTTATACTTGTAGTAATTGGTGATCTGCCCTTCTGCTCATCTTTAGTATTTAAGATTTGTTGAATAAGCTGTACAAGTCAGATCAGAAAGCACTTCTGCTTACTGGTTTTGCAACAAGAAAATACAAAGATACAATGGCTGGCCATTGGAATCCTCTCTTTTCTGCTCTAAAAGGGCTGCAGATGAGGACTGCATTTTGAATTGATTGACATGGGGTGATGTTTGTGTTTTGACAGTTATGAAAATGTGCAGCTGTTCATAAAGAAATAGAAATTGAAATCTGTGGTCTTAGAAAATTAACCTGATCTTACTATTTATTCCATCTGTTCTCATGCTTTCAGAGTATCCATTTTCTTTCAGCAGATCTTTGTTTTATTTTTTAGTTTTGCCTTTTGTATGCCGATAATACATATATGTATACGAATGAGATTAATTCATGCAAAAGTGACAGTCAAAAATCATATTCTTGGAAAAAAATTCTCCAGTGTATTTAAAAGTGATATGTAAGAAAATTGTCTTAAAATTAAACCATTTTCCATTATAAATTTTTTATAGATTATTATAAAACCCCTGAAGAGGAGCAATACAGGTCAACTGTAAAACATAAAGCTACAATAAGACCTATTTAACTTAAAATTTCAATACATATCAATAATTGTAGGGTGTTGCCTTTTGTTGAAATTAACTTAGCTTAGCTGGCATGGTTTTACTGTGTAAGAGGGCATTACTGTAGAAATCTCAAGCATGAAGTAGAGAGCAAAATGCATTATCCTGTGCTCCTAAGCAAACATTTTAATCACAGGATATGCTATTTGTTTTAAATACTTCCTTGACATGTTGCCCTGTTAAATTCAGTACTGAGTGAAATATAATAGAGTATGTGGGTTTAATTCCAAGTAATTTTACAAAAGACAGCATGTGATTAATTCAGAGTTTGTATAAAATTTTGTTATCCCTAGTATAGGAATCTGTTGCAAAGAAATATGTCTTGCCCTCTGTGCTTTAAGTATGTGGCCCAATAGTAAGCGAACAGACAATGTAATGTACTTCTTAGTCTAACAAGCACATATATTTCTGTTGCAGCTGAGTGTTAACATATTTAATTTTACTTTTTTGTTTTGTCCCCCCTCCCAATGTAACTGTGTTCATTGAGGGAAGTATAGTTTTTTTCCCTGCTAGTCTGTTTTTATTGTTAAGTTTTATACTCCAAATTCTACAACCTGCCTTTCGGACCTTCCTTACACTATTATTATTGATCTACTAGAGTCAACAGATGTCATTTACCTCCTCCCAATTGTTTTCTTGTTAACCTAAGCAATGTAAAATGAAAATTACAGTGTTTTCTAAAATCTCAGACATTCCTTTTTAAAGTCTCAGCTCTTGTCATTTTTTATGCAGCTGTTAATCAGGAGTTACAGAATTATTTTTGTGAACAGATCTCTTCACGTGCATTTTCTATTACTGCCCTGTAGGTCTTTTGAAGAAGTGTACGTAAAATGTATTAGCACTTAATATAAGTAGCACTCATTGAAAACTTTACCAAATCTTAATCAATTTATGGCCATTTTTTTAACCACAAAGTCAGTTTATTAGTGAAGGAAGTTAATTAGGTATATTATCCACACCTCATATCATTTAACTAAAGAAAAGTTTACTTGGAGACAGGAACATATTTTTTATAAGCACAGGATTTAAGGTCTGTATTTGGATGAGTGGCTTGAATAAGTGCTGCTGGTTTTTTATGAGCAGTTTGCTCATCTGATTTGACCTGAAGTTACAGAATACTGTTTACATGGACTGGTAAGAAAGTTTGTAGGAGAGTAAGTGTGTAGTTTTTTGCTTTCTTTAAAAAAAAAAAAAAAAAAAAAAAAAA